AGAGTTTTGCTCTGGTTGTCCAGGCTGGAGTGGCAGTGGATGATCTTGCGGCTCACTGAACCTCACTCCTGGGTCACAGCGATTCTCCTGGCCTTCAGCCCTTCCTGGAAGTAGCTGGGATTTATAGGCACCCACTATGGCCAGCTAATTTTGTGTTTTTAGTAGAGGATGGGTTCAACCATGTTGCTCCTGACCTCAAGTGATCCACTTGCCTCGGCCTCTCAAAGTGCTGGGATTACAGGCATAAACCACCATGCCCGGCCGGCAGCTTCTATTTTAAAGGGCTTTGTTTTGTTTTTTGAGAGAGTCTTGCTCTGCTGCCCAGGCTGGAGTACAGTGGCGCAGTCTTGGCTCACTGCAACCTCTCCCTCCCAGGTTCAAGTGATTCTCGTACCTCAATCTCCCGAGTAGCTGGGATTACAGGTGTGCGCCACCACACCCAGTTAATGTTTGTATTTTTAGTAGAGACAGGGTTTTGCCACGTTGGCCAGGCTGGTCTCAAACTCCTGACCTCAAGTAATCCACCTACCTCGGCCTCCCACGCTTGGCTCCCTGGGATTACAGGCGTGAGCCACCATGCCCGGCCTATTTTAAAAAGCTTTATGAATATAAAGTTCTACATATTTGCTGTATACATTTCAAAGGTAATAGGTTAAGTGAAAGCAGGATGTGCCCTTTCCCCAGTGTGTCTCTATCATGTTCCCCAGTGGGGGCCACTGCTAAATTTGGGATATTCTTCTGTTTTCTATATCTGCAGATAGTCTACATACTATTCTGCAAACTGTACTTTTTCTTTTCTTTTCTTTTTTTTTATTGGAGACAGGGTCTGGCTGTTACCCAGGTTGGAGTGCAATGGTGCGACCTCGGCTCATTGCAGCCTCCACCTCCTGGGCTCAAGTGATCCTCCTACCTCAGCCTCCTGAGTAGCTGGGACTACAGGCATGCACCACCATGCCTGGCTAAATTATTATTATTTTTTTTGGTAGAGATGAGGTTTCACCTTTGCCCAGGCTGGTCTCGAACTCCTGGACTCAAGCAATCTGCCTGCCTCAGCCTCCTAAAGTGCTGCCCAACCATACTTTTTCATTTAAGAGATAATGGATACCAAATGAAATACAAGTTACGTGCTTAGAACAATGACTACTATTTTTAACGTGTCATGGGCAGCTTTCTTAATTGGTATATGCAGATATGCTTTTATCACTGTTTCAAGCTGAGGGCAGGGAAGTCCCTGCAGAAACTTTGTCTTGAAGAAACGGGTTAAATTGGCTGGGCGCAGTGGCTCATGCCTTTAACCCCAGCACTTTGGAAGGCCGAGGCGGGTGGATCATGAGGTAGGAGTTCAAGACCAGCCTGACCAATATGGTGAAACCCCGTCTCTACTACAAATACAAAAATTAACCGGGTGCAGTGGCAGGTGCCTGTAATCTCAGCCACTCGGGAGGCTGAGGCAGGAGATTCGCTTGAATCTGGGTGGCAGAGGTTGCAGTGAGCTGAGATCATGCCACTGCACTCAGGCCTGGGTGACAGAGTGAGACTCTGTCTTTGAAAAAAAAAGAAAGAAAGAAATAGGTTAAATGTGCCATCCCTCAAGGTAGGGGTGGTTGATTTCACAGAAATCAAATCGAAAAGGCACCCTCCCCTTCCTTCCATAATGCTGGCATCCAATCATCTGAAGTAGGGATGGGGCTCGGACCAGGGGCTGAGGGAGGCCCACCCAGTACCTGTGGGGAAAAGGAAGAGAGATCAGCCTGTTACTGTGTCTATATAGAAAGAAGTAGACATAAGAGACTCCATTGTGTTCTGTATCTGAGATGCTGTTAATCTGTGACCCTACCCCCAACCTTGTCCTTGCAAGAGACTTGTGTTGCGGTGACTCAAGGTTTAATGGATTTTGGGCTGTGCAGGATGTGTCTTTGTTAAACAAATGCCTGAAGGTAGCTTGCTGGTTAAAAGTTATCACCATTCTCTTAATCTCAACTACCCAGAGACACGTTCATGGCCAAAGGTCGCAGGGACCTCTGCCTAGGAAAGCTAGGTATTGTCCAAGGTTTATCCCCATGTGATAGGATGAAACAATGTTGCTAAAAGGTTTATCTCAAGGCACAGGATTTTCCTTTGAACTTATTCATATCACAGAGGTTTTTGTTCTTATGTCTTACTGCTAATTTCCTCCCTAAAAATGATCCTATTGTCCTGCCACTCCCCTGTCTTTAAGATGGTAAAGATAATTATCAATAAATACTAAGGGAACTCAGAGACCGGTGCCGGCGTGGGTCCTCTGTAAGCTGAGCGCCGGTCCCCTGGGCCCCGCTTTTCTTTCTCTATACTTTGTCTCTGTGTCTTATTTCTTTTCTCAAGTGAGAAACACCCACAGGTGTGGAGGGGCAGGCCACCCCTTCAAGTACCTGGTCCAGGCCTGGGACTCCTGAGCCCTGCCAGCCAAGGCCTCTTCTGCCTACCCAGACACGCCTCCTTGGACAGTGGGGGAGGTGCCGCTCAAGCCTGATGCTGATCTCTTTTGACAGCTGCTCCTAAGGCTGGCAGGATGGTAGGCAGTGGGGGAAGGGACCAGATTTAAAGGTCCAGTTGCTCCGTCCCCTGCCAGACCTTGGCAGGCAAGCGCGGGTGAGCATCCTCTGAGGGCTTGGGTCTTGCGTATGTAGAAGGTCAGAGACCCCTCTACCCTAGTTTCCACTTCTTGGTATCATAAAGACCACTGGTCTTCATGTCCGCTCCCACCCTACAGGCCGCCAGGGAGACCAGTGCCGCCCACCATGCGATTTCGACGCCTGACCCCTGGTTACTTCCGGGTGCTACAGGTAAGTACCCCTGATCAATGGTTTCTGGCACGACTGACGCCTTCCTCCCCCTACCATAGCTGGGTTGACACCCCCAACAGCCAGGCTGTCACGTTCCCTGCCGCCTGAGCAGGCAGGCCCAGATGGGCAGTGAGGCGAAAGGGATTGGGGTGGAATCTCCCTGGGGCAGTACCAGCGTCCATGTCTCCTTCCCCTAGCTACACCTACTCAGCCCCTTCCCACTCCCCACCTTCCTGACAGTCTCAACTGACCCCTGAGGCACACCCTCTGTGCACCTCCAGATGCAGGTAGCTGGTGAGCTGAAGGCAGAGCCCCGCAGTCTGCTGGTGGGAGTTGTGGCTACAGTGCTAGCTGTCCTCGGGCTGGGTGGCTCCTGCTATGCCGTCTGGAAGATGGTGGGGCAGCGGCGGGTGCCACGGGCCCCATAATGAAGAAGAGAGACTCTCACCTGGACGCTGGGGGTAGGTGACTCGGGAGGGGGCTGCAATCTCAGAAGCCTTCTTTTCTGGGGATCAGTCTCTGTCGGAAGCAGGACAGAGTAATCTGATCCCACTCCCGCCACCCCACACTGCATCAGGCCTCCATCTGGGTGCTCCAGTTCAGATGCTAGGACCTCAGAGGGAAGGCAGGGATGTGGGCTCCAAAGATAGACCAAGATTGACACCCTAGGCCTGGTGCACAGAATGTACTAGACAAGCCCTTCCAGGGCAGGAGTTTGAGACAGCGACCTGGAAGTTAAGAGTTGGAGGCAAGCTCTCTTTGTCCAGTTCCTTTATTGGGGGCAGGGCACCCAGAAGAGGCCCTCCGTTCCCCAAACCCAGAGCCAAAAGGGGTTGGCACGCTCCCTCCCAGCCTAGTCCTTGCGTCACTGTCCATGGGCAACTCCTCTGCCCTGCATCTTCAGGCCATGTCAGGTAGAGGTGTCCATCTCAGGGACCTCAGTGGACACTTCTGTGGGCACTGCTAGCCGCCTGGGGGGCACATAGGATCCCATACCCGCTGCCCTCTCCGCCTCTTCCTGACTGTAGGGCTCGACGCTCAGCTGCTTCAGCCTGGGAGAAAGAAAAACAGGAGTTGGGAGATGACAGGTGAAAGCCCTATCTGCTGAGCACCCATCCATCAATCCTCTCCTTACTCCTTCATACCTTTTCTTGTGGTCTTTGGATCGGAAGTGGGTCTTCAGATTGGCGGAATCGATGAAGTACCTCCTGTAGGGATGGAAGTGAGAAGGAGAGTGAGGAGGTGATAGTCTCCCAAGTACACCTATCTCCATAGCCCTAGCTTGTCCCTGACGCCAGGATCCGGGTCTGAGAAACGGGAGGCGGGCGGACCCAAGGGTCCCAAGAGAGAAGGCTCTGCACGGCCTGGGGCTTGAACTTCACATCTCCCGGCCGGTACAGCGGACCCTCCTCCGCTCCCGGCCGGGCTCGTCCGGGACTCACGCGCAGGCCAGACAGCGGTGCAGGCCGCCCCCTGGCAGGTCGGGGTCGGGCTCGGCGTTTGGGTCGGGCTGGGGCCGTGCGGGTCCCAGAGGCCGCAGCTCGCGGTGAATCTCATCCAGGTCCGGCCGCCGCCGCTTCGCCTTCATCTGCCGGGCTAGAGAGTGCGCTCGGTGCGCGCCTGTCCGGCGGGAGCGACCCATGGCCAGAAACAGCCCGGCCGGCCAAAGGGCCAGGAGCAGGGCAGTGAGCACACGTGTGAGCGCTTCCGGGCCGATCAGCAACGTCAGGCCACGCAGGGGGGCGAGGCAGGCTCTGCCGGACCGCCTCTGATGACGTCACTCTCGGCCAGCGGCTCGAGCGCCGCCAGGCGGCCCTCGACGTCAGTGACCGAGCTCGGGACGGGTCTCCAGAATTGTGACCACTGAAGGGCATGGCCACGCGGGTCCTAGCTCGGGAAGCGCGGGGTGGTGCGTGCGCCTAGGGGTTTCGGGGCCGTCTTGCTGCCCTGCTCTCCCTGGCCTGGCCCAACCAGTATCAGTGCCAACCTCTGCCCCTGTCGTCCCTTCCTGTTTCCCAGACCTTGGACTCCGCGGTGGGGGTGGGATGCTGCATCTCTGGAAACCACTGATAAATGTCTGTGTCATGAATAAATTAGTAAATGACTGAGAGTGAATAAGTTTGGAATCCCAGCCCCACAGGGCTTCCCGAGATATCTCCAGTCCCTGAAAAACCCGTCACTTCTCCCGGCTCCCATTATTCCCTTGAATCTCCATCCTCTCTCTGCCCCCAGCCAAATCCATGAAGGGTGTTCCTCCCCAGAGATTGCAGTCCTCAGGCATCCAGATTCCAGAGGGCTCAGTTCCTCTCACAAGTACTTATAGAAGGACCTCTCCACCTTTGCCTCCTTTCTCTAAGCCCTGGGCTCCCAGAGGTGAGCTGGCAGCAAAGGCCTAGGTATTGCATGCTCAGAGAGGGCAGAAGCCTAGAGGGCCTTTCCCCATTCACAGGATCCTGGTGCCTCCCAGGCTGGCCAGAGCCAACTCAGCTGGAAGGGGCCAGAGGAGCTTAGCAATAATTCAGGGGCTCCAGCTCTTTGGAATCTGTTGCCAGGAAACAAGGAGACAGGCACGTGTATCCCTGGGGAGAGGAATCAGTTTCCAGCCCAGACAAAGGAGTGAAATGTAAGCCCAAGGTGCCCACTGGGGGCCTGGGGACCTTCCTGCTCCAGTTCATTGAGGCTGAGTAGGGACAAGGGGTGGAGCCCTGCTGAGGACACAACTGGTATGACTACAGTCACAGGGACTCCAGTGTGGGTCCCAGACCTCAGGATTTTGTGAATGGAAGAAGATTTTCCTGGAGCCATGCTAAGAGATGAACAACCTCAAGTACTCCTAGGCCCAAGAAGAAAGCCTCTCTAGGGCCGGGCGCGGTGGCTCAAGCCTGTAATCCCAGCACTTTGGGAGGCCGAGACGGGCGGATCACGAGGTCAGGAGAT